GAAGTGCTCAAAACACTTTGATACGGAAATGGTGAGATATGTGTTGCCACTGAACTTGTTTATATCTATATCTATACAAATTATTTATCTTTTTTGTAATACAGTGAAACCCGCTCTCATGAAACCATGGCCGACGAATTTAGAGAAGGGTTATACCTTACTATGCTTTTATCATGATTATACTAAAATTGGATGGGCTATAAAACTTTATACTCATAAAAAGTTCTAACACTTCTAAAACAAGTTTGAAATTTTTTTGAATTTTTTGACCTAGACCACGTCCTACGTTTCGATGTGGAGGCTATGCTGAAATGTTGTAGTTGTAATTTTTAGAGCTTTACTAAAACGGTCATTGCACGAGAACTTATAAAGCGATTTAAAAAAAAAGTGTGGCGTTTCAAAGATATAATTCCAAACCTATCGACAGATTCAATTTTGTAAGTAACGAATTCGGTTTCTATCGTAAAAATAACGGTAAACATTGGCTTATTTTGGGGTCAATTTCGAGCTTTCAAAGTGCTCTAGCAACTTACAATTTGCAGGTTAAACTTTCCTTTTCCTATTTTAACATGGAGTGATTGGCAATGTTTATTTCTTACTTTTTGCTTTTCTACTTTCGTTTGATTGTGCTTAATATGAGCAATTACCCCGTTCGAGTGATAATCTCCAATGGGCATAAACTGCAGTTAAGGCTTGGTGGAAATACCCTATTACAGTTCTCCAAAATAATTTACAACCATGCGGAATTTACAACGAATACGGACACAAAAACGAATACGAGGGCGTAGATCAGAAGAGGACGAATACTAAGAGGAATTTGAAGAAAAAATTACGGTCGGTTACGAAGATCAATACGAAGATGAATACAAAGACGAAGACGAATAACGGAGACGAACTTGATCCCGAACGCGAAGACCAATCCGATGCGAATAAGAAGACAAAGACGAACTCGCGAAGCACCCGAAGACGAACGCGAAAACGAATGCGTAATGCGGAGACGAATACGAAGCCAAATGCGATAAAAAAAATACAAAAGCTCGTACACAGACGAAAGCGATTACAAAAACGCGTACGAATGTTAATACAAAGACGAAGACTAATACAAATACTAAATGCGAGACTTAAGCTAATAATAAGAGTAATACAAAATTCTATAGTGGGAAAGAAACTACAGTCAAACTTCCATAACACGAACTTCTATAAAACAAATTTTCTAAACTTGAACTAAATTCGGCGGCAATAGGATTTAGAGCATTAAGTACATGGTCTTATGACTCCGTTACTACGTACTTCCATAACTCGAACTGGTCGCATAAAAATGCTCGCGCGTACATTCTATAAATCGAATTACTTAAGGGAAATCCCAAATTTTTTATGACTGTCGTATTATTTTCGCGACGAAACTTGTTGTTTGCATAAGATTACATACATAATATGCATTGCATATGCATGTAAATATTTATCATGGTACTATGTTGCAGTCTAGATAAATACGTACGTATATACATCTTCATATATGTATGTCAAAGAAAACAAATTTTAAATAATATGTAGGAGAAAATGAAAATGTAAACGAAAATCTGGAAGATTAGGCAAAACACGACTGAATCCAAGTTCAAAAGTATCGTCAAAATGTCTTTGATTGACTTTTAGCAGAGATATATGTATACATAAATGGAGCATTATTGAAGCAGAGGTGTAGAAACAGACTTTTACTGGTCCTACTACAGTCGGGTCTACGTAACCGAAACGACCCAGATTCATATCTGGCAAAAAACAGCCAGCTACTACTGAAAAATATTTTCATATTTCTGAATAAAGAATGTACACGAAAAAAACTGGTCACAGTTAAAACGTTCTAAAACATAAATATATTAATGGAATTCAACGATATTTACATATATTTACATCTAAACTTAGTTTTATTGAAATTCGTTAAAAAAGAGTTAATTCTCCTTGTAATAAGCAAACGATCGCAATTTTGACTTTATGTCCTTCATTAGCCCTTGCACAGAAGTTTCAGTGATTTCCTTGGAAACCTGCTGCCATTTATTTTTGAATTGTTGTGCGTTTTTTACAGCTTTGTGGGTCTTAAGAAGTTTGGATTTCATAACGGCCCAGTAGGTTTCGATCGGCCGATGCTCTGGACAATTAGGTGGATTCACCTCTTTTGCTACAAAATACACTTTGTTTCTATGTTACCATCCTGAAGCCATTTTTCCGTAATGACATATCGCGAGATCAGGCCAAAAAAGCACTGGATCTTTATGAAGCCGTATAAGAGGTAAAAGTCGCTTTTGCAGACACTCCTTAGCATAAATTTCTTGGTTAATTGTACCAGTGCTTACAAAGGGATCACTTTTGAAGCCGCATTGGCAAATTGCCTGCCAAATGAGAAACTTTTTGGGAAATTTGTCAAACTTTTTGTTTTTATATTTATCTGCAACATTGCCTCTTTTATTTGCAGTGTGAAATTCGCGGCCCCGGATTTGTTTAAAATCGGCTTTTACGTACGATCCGTCATCCATAACAATACAGCCAAATTTTTGTATGAGACTGTCGTACAATTTCCGAGCACGTTGTTTCGCCAACAAATTTTGCTTACCGTTGCGATTAGGTGCTGCATTCACTTTGTAAGAACGTAGTCCTGCTGTTTTGCATACTTTTTGTATATACGAAGACGACATGTTTAATTTTTTGCCGACATCTCTTACCGAAAGTCCAGGATTTTTCTTAAAAGCAGATAACACTTCCTTTGCCTTAATTTCGCAAGCAAATCCTTTTTTTCTGCCACTACAAGGGTTCCTTTTTAAAGATAAACATTCATTGTATTTTTTAAGCACATAAGTAACGGTAGACTTCGGAAATTTTAGCTTTTTTGCGATGTCGTTATGGAACATGCTGGGATTTTCCAGCTTTTTGGGCAATATTAACTCGCGATCGATTTCTTTCTTGGTCCTCGTTTCTACACTGATTTTTGTTACTAAAAATAAATGATGCAGTAAGGTGGAAAATGCTTCCAGCTTTTTAAGTGTCTACCGATTTTTATTTTAGTGTTATGATTAACCGAGCTATGCTTGGTTATGTGCGACCAGTTTTTTTCGTGTACATTTTTTATTTGAATTCCCAAGAAAACTATTAGGACATGAACACGAATAAATTAATATAATAATTAATAATTAAAATTTTTTTTCGACAAGATATATAATAAACACTAAAAAATTCGAAGTATTCATAAGTCGAAGTTTTCGGCCCTTAGAAGTTTGTTGGACAAAACAAAAACGAAAATGTGCATTTAATTTATTTTCTTATTGTACTTTTCGTTTACTACTTCCACCTTTCATCCTTCTTAAAAGCCAACGCATTGACAAAACAGACGCTCCGACAGCGGCTGCCACAGCAGCCATGACCAGAGCAGCCACATCCAGTAAGTAGAATTCGTACCATTTTAAATCCATACCAGCAGCGCGCAAATGACGTGCGCCATTGTGGCGTATTACATAGTCGATCCAATAGAGTAACGTCTCACGCGGATCAACTGGACGATCACGGAAAATACGGGAACACTTTTGAGCGGTATCCCGATATGTGGCGTTGAAGAGCACCTGCTCCAGGCCATTCTTTAGAGTTTCGCGTGTAAGTCTACGAAAATCCAAAGCAACGGCATATCCAGAAAATTCAGCTTTCAGCAGATTTATTTGCTGGTGAAGAAACGGACTCGAGTTAGGAAGAAATTGCAGTGTTTGAACAAAAAATATGTATATTTTGGTTTATGTTTCAATTTACCTGATCGAAGAAGAACGGCATACCCAATATGGGTACGCCATGGTAGACGGATTCCTGTAAGCCGAAAAGGCCTCCGTGGGAGATAAAAGCGCGCATGTTAGGGTGTGCCAAGATATCGTTTTGTGGCAACCACTTTTTAATGATAACATTATCTGGTACATTTGGTATGCTGTCGTTTTCGAACTTCCACAAGACGCGTTGCTTCAATTGACGAAAGACATCGGTAAATATCTGTAGCTTTTCTAGCGGCATGTCCTTAGTCTCAACTTGGGTGCCAAAGCTAAAATAAATGGCACCATGCTCAGCCTCATCCAAAAATGTCTGTAAATCGGTGGGAAGTGGCTTCGGTGGAGAGATATGTATGCCGCCGATGTTAACCATGTT